CCTGGGGGATGGTGGAGGCAGCTCCGCATTGGCTCCTGGCTGCTTAGGATGCTGGTCAGCCAGGCCTCCAGCATCAATGACACTCAGGCAGCTGAGCAGCGACCCGGCTGGAATCCTAATGAAACCCGGGTGGGGGGATGGACAGGGAAGAGGCCTGGAGTGTGTGGGGAAAGCAGCCACCCAGGGCCTCCCGGGGAAGCAGAAGGGGCACAGAAAGGGGCTACCGTCTCCCCATGTGCCCTGGGCTGGGCCCTCACACTCTGCCCAGGCAGCTCGGAAATGTAACAAAGGACTCGGATCAATTGAATTCCTCTCTCTGTTTTCATTCTGAATTTTTCTCCCAGCTGCTCCAGGCCACGGTGGGACCCGCCCAGCAAATGGGAGCCTCCCGCTACTGATTTCCCCCCCCCTCCCCCCCGCCCAGAGGATAGAGCCCAGCCCAGCCCCGCCCCTGCACGCAGGAGCACCATGCTGGTTCCTTCCCCCCGCCCCCAGCGGCACCATGCTAGTCCTCTCCCCGAGCAGCACCGGGCTGGCCCCTTCCCCAGGACCCACCTGCAGCTCTGCAATGCTCATCTTGTGATAGATCTTCTCATCATCCCGCCTCTCGTCCTGGGGGACGGTGATATTGGCCAGCAGGGTCTCGAACTCCAGTACCTGCTCCATCTGCTCCTGGGTGGAGACCTTTTCTCCACCCAGCAGCATCCCCAGCTCCACCATATAGTCCAGGTAAGCAGCCAGCACCTGTCACTCAAGCAAGAGGCAGGGGGGTTAGTCACCTAGGAAGGGGCAACCCTACACAATTGGTCATGGGCCGTGGGGGTGTTCAGCTCCCCCAGATCCTGTGCTCTTAAATCCCCAAACCTCCTCCCACCAGGATGTCCTGCCAACTGGGTCCCGGGACAGGCTCCGATCCAGGGTCCTGGCACTCGGCGGGGGGGCCCTTTCCTTCAGCCCCTTGTGATTTAGGGTCAGGCACATTCCACCCGCTGGGCTGGATCTGCGTCAGGAGCACAGGAAGGTGTGGGGCCTACCCAGGTGTTGGGGTGGGAATGTGCATTTCAGAGCACAAAGGCCTCTTGGGTTATCTCCGAGATGGGGCACACATTGGAGAGGGTTCTGAAAAGAGCCAGGAGACTGATTAGAAGATGAGAGAACCTGCCTGATAGTGAGAAACTCAAGGAGCTCCACCCTACTTAGCTTAACAAAGAGAAGGCTACAATCAGGCTGAAAGTACGTATGTGAGGACCAAATATTTGACAATGGGCTCGTCGGGCTGGTAGAGAAAGGGCAGTGGCTGGGAGCTGAAGCTAGACCAGTGCAGGCCGGAAGTCAGGCATGAACTGGGGCCTGCTCTGTGGAAGGGATGGTGTGCATGGGCTGCCCCCACTCAGCCCCCTACCTTCTCATTGGCTGTCTTGTTCAGGTAGTAATCCCGGGAGGGGAGGAAAAGGCCTGACTGATCCACCTGGAGACGGAGAACAAATGAGCCTGGATCACATAGCCACAGCCACTGCTCCGTAGCACAAAGCCCCCTGCCCTGCCGCCACACCCAGTCACGGCTATTCCCGGGAACCAATGGGGGTGGAGGAACTGGGGCAACCCCAGCCCTCAAAAGTAGACCAGGGCCATCAAATCTGACCTGTGGAGAATCCCCAAGCGGCATTCAATCCCCAGCAGCGAGAGGCTGAGGTGCCTTCCTGTGGTCCTTGGCACCGTTTTACGCCCAGCTATGTGATGTGGCCCCAAAACAGTTCCTGTCCCCACTGAACCCCTCCCAGTGTGTCCCCAGGGGGGAGGGGGCAGGCAGAGGGCTGGGTGTCTGAACTGGGTCATTTAAGGCCAGAGTCAGAAATGTCCAGCCATGATAGCCTGGTGCTCGCTCTGGCCTTGGCTAGGTTTCTTTATGGGCCCTTCTCCCTCACGCCCGGCTGGCTCTTCCACCCCCGTTTTGTGGTGACGATGTTTCCGAGCTAGGGGCAATGGGAGGGGTTTGCTTTAGGCCCATTGCATGCTGGGAGCTCGGTGTGAGGTTCTGGCACAGGGCCCCCTCCCCGGTCCTCACAGGCGCAGGGGCTACCTGAATGACATTGCTGTTGGAACTCTTGGAGTCGGCGCCCACGTAGACCGTGAAAAAGGGGGCGGCCCGGTAGGTCCCCGACACCATCTTCAGAACTTCCATGAAGTTGCTCTGGTTCCAGGGCCCGGTAATATTCCACCCGCCAATCTGCAGGAACGCAGGGATTTGAGCTTGTGCCTCTCTGGGTCACCAAATTCCCCTGGCTTTAATCTTCCACCTTCACACCCAGCACAGGAGAGACCCTCTACACCCTGCCTGTGATCCATGCACTATACCCCAGCACTAGGGGGCTGTGCTGCTGCGGGGTGCTGCTGGTGTGCTCCCATGTGCTGCTGGTGTGCTCCCATGTGTCCCCAGCCCAGCACTAGGAGGTGCTGCTGGGGGTGCTTCCCTCCAAGCTCTGCCTGTGCCCCACCCCCATGCATACCAGCTATTACTGTGCCTGGGGGAGCTGCTCTGTACACCCTGCCTGTGCTCCCAGCCCAGCACTAGGGGGCACTGTGCTTCCCACTATGCCTGGCCTGTGCTCCGTGTGCACCACCCCTGCCTAGCAGAAGGGGGCGCTGTGCTTCAAATGTGAAGCTGCCGCGTTACCCCAGGCACAGAAGCGCGATTCTCACATCACTTACACGATGGGCAATATAACACATGGGGTGTGGGGGAGGCAGGAATCACAGCCCTGGAAATAGGACTCAGCCCGGCCAGTGCAAACTCCCACCCCTACTAGTGAGCTGCACCCCTGCCTGGAGGGACCCCTGCCAGGGAAGAGAGCAGCTTGGCGCATGGCTCCTCTGCTGGCGCTGTTCAGTTGTAACGGAGATGTGAACGCTCTGTGTCTGGCAGCCTAGGCTGAGACCCGGCAACTCATCTCCCGTGGGCCCACGTAGGAATGGCATTCGGCCAGGCAAAGGCTCCCAGAGCTCGGTCCTTCTCCAGGATGGTCTCCCCGTGGAGAGACTTTTCCCCTGCAGAGAGGCGAGTACGCTGAGCAGCCTCCCTCCCTGAGCTGGGCTCCCGCCCAGACCTCACCTTGGTCTGGTTCTTCCCCCCGCCCCTCCCCTGGCACCCACCTTCTCAATCAGGTCCATCAGTGGCTGGGAGCCCAGCTCCCCGATTTTCTGCTCCTTCAGACAGGACAGGTAGTAGCGCTGGGTCTTCCTCTCCGCCTCGCTGCTGGAGTTGAAGGAGGCGTTCTCTGTGGAGTGGATAACAAGATGGATTCAGTCATTTCCTCCCTTACAGGGGGGCTCTGGCGCATGGAGGGACCGTGGAGACTGGCCCTGGTCTCCTAGAACTTTGTGCCTGTGACCACGCCCTGTGACCATGCCTTAGGCCTGGGTCCCGTCTCACCCTCCTGCTGGAGCCCCCTGTATCGCCATGTAGTCTCATGTGGGTTAGGTTCCCCCAGGTTATATGGCATGATCCCCACCGGTGATGGCACCAGGGAACTGTCCCCTGCACTGCCCAAGGGTCTGCCCAGGTGCATCTGGCATGCCACCGTGTGCCCCTGGCCAGTGCTGGCACGGGACAGACTGACGGCTGGCGTGCCACCGTGTGCCCCTGGCCAGTGCTGGCACGGGACAGACTGACGGCTGGCGTGCCACCGTGTGCACCCCGGCCAGTGCCGGCACGGGACAGACTGCCAACTGGCGTGCCACCGTCTGCCCTGGCCAGTGCCGGCGCAGGACAGACTGCCGGCTGGTTTGCCACCGTGTGCCCCTGGCCAGTGCCAGTGCAGGACAGACTGCCGGCTGGTTTGCCACCGAGTGCCCCTGGCCAGTGCCGATGTGGGACACTGCTGGCCAGTGTGCCCTCTCTGAGGCAGAGAGACCATGGAAGCTGATGCAGGATACAGAGCTCAGTCTGCCCTGTGCTGTTTCCAAGAAGCTGTAACCTAGCCATATATGCCAGCAGCTGAATGCCCACATAGGTTATCGCCCCCCCACCCCCGTCACCAGCACCAGCCAGGCTGGGCCTACTGGCCAATGGAGCCAATCCAGGAGACTCGTCAGCCTCTGTGCTGAGGGGCCTGTCCGGCTGTGTCTGGAATGTCTCCTAACCCCACCCAGCGTGTGTGTGGGGAGCCCCTGCATCCCTGACCATATGGGCATTCTCCCCTTCCAGGGCAGGCCCTGGGAAGCCGATCCCTGACCACCTAGGTCTCTCCCTGGTCCATACAGCCCACCAGGCGCCCTCCTCCAATGCCGCCCTCCCCGATTCTCTGTGCCCGTGTGCAAGGAGGCACCCAGCACAGGGCTACACCCACCTAAGAGGTGTTTCATGATGGCCTGGTTCTGGTCCCAGATGCTGTTGAAGGTGCTCCACTTGGAGCGCCCATCGGGCAGCGGGTTCCGCTTTATCCACCCTCCGCAGGAGTACTGGTAGAAGTTCTCGCAGGGATTTGTCTCCCGGTCCAGGGCCTCCAAGATCTTACTGGCCACGGTGATGCAGGCTTCTGTGAGGCACGTGCTGTGGGAAGGGTCTGAGTGGCAGAGATGCAGTCATTAGGGCCCAGGGCCAACAAGTGGGGAAACTGAGGCACAGAGCGGCAGGGCCTTGCAGCAAGTCGGTGGTAGAGCTGGGAACAGAGCCCAGGAGCCCTGCCTCCCAAGCCTGCAGTTGACCACTCCTGCGTTGGTGCCCCTGAGAGGGGGCACGGGGAGTGTGATTGCCGGCACGGGAGGTGGCCCCCACGGTCCTCAGGAGATGGGTGACCGAGTCCTGCAGCCGCACCCTTCTTCAGCTGGGGCCACGTGGTCCCTTAGAATATTTAATATTTACTTCCTGCCGGACAGACCCAGGAGAATCTCTTCCCCGTATTTCCCCCGCTCTCCAGCAGCGACTCCTGTTCCCCAGGGTAATTCCAGCCCAGGGGAGCCTCCCCGCACACCACAGAGCCTTTTGCAGCTCCCTGGGGCAGGCCTTTCCTCTAGTGAGTAGCCCCAGTGTTTCAGCTTGTTCCTGATAAGGAGCTGGAGCTGTAGGGAGATGGGCTGGGGGGGGGGCCGTAGTGAAGGTGTGAGCCCCACCCTCTCCCTACCTTTGCTGTACTGGACGCCCAGCGCAATCAGAGAGCCCAGCAGCAGCAGAGCCGTGATGAGGCAGATGGCACAGAGAGCCAACTCCAACTGGGTCCGTGAACCCAGGCGGCTCAGCAAGGGAGGGGGACCTTTCCTGAACCCCACCTGGGAGGGAAAAAGAGAGGGAGAGTGGGGGGGGGAGGAGGGAGAGGGAACAGACGGGGACAGCGTATTAAGGGGCACCTGATGGATTAAACCCAAACACACAATCAGAACTAGCCACAAATCCGCCTTGCAGGGGGACCTTGAGGCCCTCCCCCTTGGCTGTACCACTCCACCCTTCCCTCATGGTAGCCCTGCCTGAGATCCTCCCCCCATGGCAGTGCCCCCCTGGGCTGCCCTATTGCCTGTGGGAGTGAAGAGATGCTGTGACCCCTCCCCAGCACTGAGCGCCAGTGTACAGTAATTCCATTGGGAGCAGGCCCCATCCAGCACTGCCAACGGATCCTGCCCGTGGCTGGACTTGGATGGCACCTGCTGGAGGGTGGGAGGGAAGAGCAGGGGGCAGGCACTGTCAGAGTTCCCCCTTCTGGCCACAATCCATATGACCTGGCTGGGAGAGGAAGAACCAGTGGGAAAAACTGAATCTGGACCCCCTGGGAGATCCCACAAGGACTGCCCACCCTTACAGCTACGTTCCTGGGAGCCAGGGCCTGGCACCGGGGCCCATCCATGTGGAAAGAGAAGCCTCCCAAAGGGCTTGCAGGGGAGGTTAATCACCTCTAAAAACTGCCACCCAGGTCCATGCAAGTCAATGTGAGAGGCAGTCCCGGCCCAGGAGAGACCGGGGGGCTGTAGGGCAGGACTAAGGGGCAGCGGCAGAGCTGTGTGTGCAGAGCCCAGGACCGGAACAGCGTGGGGAAGAGAGGACACAGAGCAGGGCAGAGAGGCATTGGCAGAGCCACGGGTGTGTGGCTTTTGGGAAAAGGTGGCAAAATCAGTTTTAATTCCCATTGGAAACGGCCCCTTTCCCTCCTTTTTCCCTCTCCCGTCCAGTGCTCGGTAACTCGCCTGGGCAATGAAATTATCTTGCCCCAGAGATTCCAGAGACAGCTTTTATTAATAGCTCTGCTGCTGAACACGAGCTGGCGGGGCTCCCATGGGAACCCAGAAAGGCCCAGAAGCCGGGCCGTGTCCTCCCTCGCAGTGCATTGGCCCTGGCCGCTAAGAAGCCGCGCCCTGTCCTGGTCTAAAAGAGGCCCCCAGGTCCGCGCACGTTCCAGGAGCGTAATCCTACCTCCACGCTATCAGGAGAGGCGCTTCCATCCCCAGCCGCATCCACCCCCTCGTCGTCCTGCAAAGTAGCTCGTTTGTAATCAGACATCTGCACAGAGAGAGAAAGCAGGCTAGGAATGACATCGCACAGGGCCGTGCCAGGATCTGCAGGGGGCACCGGGCCCAGCTGACCCACAGCCAGGATCCGCAGGGGGCACGGGGCCCAGCTGACCCAGAGCCAAGATCCTGCAGGGGGCGCTGGGCCCATTGACACCGAGGCAGAGCTGAGGGGCCATGGAGTTGTCAACAGCAGGACAATTTCGTCTCCCTCAGGTTGGAGCGCTCCATTTCTATGGCCTCTCCTGGCTGGTGTACCACAGTGGGACTTGCCTGCCTTCCCGTTACGTAAAACCCTGATCCTGCGCTCTGAGAATCAGGGAGCCTGCATCATTGCCAGGGAGGACCAAGGGGCTCCTTGCAGGCAGGGCGCAGGTCCTGGTGATGCCAACCAAGAGTGGGCAAATGCATCTCCCTCCGCCCGCAACTTTACACGGTCACGTTCCTTCCCTGCCTGGCCCCCGAACGACTCCAGTGCAGGACCAAGTGGCGCTGCCAGGATTGTGCTGCGGAGAAGGGGAAGCTCTTGCCCCCTCCTGGCACCAGCAGTTGCCCCCGAGCAACGTACGTCCCTTCGCCCTCTGTGGGTTGCCATGGCTGCCTCTGCAGAAGCCGCTCTGACATCAGCATTCCTGACAGGTGTCAGATTGCCTCACGGAGACAGTCCTTGGTTCCCAGGCAACCTGCAGCTGCATTTCCTAGCAATGCCACTGCCTCCTCTCTGCACAGCGCTGGGACTTGCTACGCAGATGTGGTCAGTCTATGCAACATCTGGAACAGGCTGCCTTGGCAGGCTGGCGCCAGCAGCCTGGATGGAGCTCAGAAGGGGAACTCACCTCAGTGTAGCAGCCATATCTGCCCAGCCCAATGGGCTTCCACTGACCTCAGAGAGACATTCTCTTGGGTGAGAGGAGCCTCCCCCAGTCCAGCCCCTTCCCCTTCGCATCCAGCCCAGCCCCCTCACATCCAGCTCCCTCCGCCCGCCCTGCTCCCTCCCGCTCCTCAGCGCACTCTCCCATTTATCTTGGTGCCCCATAACTCAGGCATCATCCTCGATCCCGAGCTTTCCTTTCTGATGGGGCCATGCAGCTCCCCCTAACGCCAGGCTGAGGTGGGAGATGAGGGATAGCCAAGGAAGGCAGCACCGTGCCCCCTAAAGCCAAGCGAGGGTAGTGAGAGATGGGCCACAGCCAAATCGTGGAGGGCAGTAGCCCTGCAGCCCCTAATGCAGTGGTTTTCAAACGTTGTGTATGGGTCACCCCTTTCACACCGCAAGCCTCTGAGCGTGACCCTCCCTTAGAAATTAAAAACGGTGGTGGGGGGGTAATTTAATTTAATCGGGGCTCAGGGCTGTCGGCCCCACAGAGCTGACAGCTTGTGACCCCCATGTAACCACCTTGTGGCCCCCCGCAGGGTCACAACCCCAATTTGAGAACCCCTGCCCTAAAGCTACTCTGTGCTGCAGAGAGATGGGGGCCGGGGTAAAGCCAGTGCAATATGCTAGTAGGAAGCAAGGCTTGTGTCTGGACTGGGTTACAAAGCTGCGATGACAGCAGTGTTAGCTAACCCGTTTTAGTGTAGACAGGACGCCTTGCCTTCCAGGTGTCCCTGCCCCTCCAGTTGCCTAGCATGCTTGCAAAGGCTGGTGTGGACCCTCGCCACACTTTTGTTCCAGCCTACGAACATTCAGTCTTTCTACCAGGTCGATCCCTCAAGTGACTGGTAATCAAAGTAAAAAAAGACTAGACTAGGGAACCTGCCCTTTCAATCACCCCTGCCTTGTCTACACTAGACTTTCAACGGTGTTAGGGTTTGTCTACACTGCGGGGAGCTATAGGGGCATAGCTACAGTGCATCCTACTGCGGCAGAAGGAGTTTTCCATCACTGTCCGAACACCACTTCCCTAAGCAATGGTAGCTAGGTCGAGCTAGCCACGTCTACACTGGGGCAGAGGGCGGCAAGCCAAATTCCAAGTGTAGATCAGGCCTTACTCAGAAAGTGCTAATGCAGCTTTGAGCCCAGTCCAGACAAGGCCTCACGCCTGAAGCTTCATTTACATTAGAAATGAAGGCTGTGAACGAGATGACTTCGCTGGGCAGGGGCATGGGCCCCTCAGCTGGTTAGCTGGACATTTCATTGGGACTTCTTTGGCATTGCCCATGCTAGAGGGCCTCGTAGGTGAGGGTTTGAGCAGCTGGGGACTTGGCCCTTGGGGAGGGGGTTTGGGATTGTGTGCTAAGCACATAAGCCGTCTGATTTTGCTAATTGACCAACAGTGAAATAGTTAATGACAGTTACATTGAAATTGTCATTAGGTTTCAGGGTTAACGCCGTTGAGCTGAATGGGGACAGTTCACCCCTCTCAGCTCCTGTTTGAGGCTGTCTGCAGACTCGGGCCAACACTGCCATGTTGCTTAAACTTGGCTCCCGTTTTCTAGGTTTCCTTCACAGCGGCGAGGGCTAGAAAGGGAGTTTGGGAAAATTCAAAGCTAATACTGGGGAGCCCAGTTTCACAGTGAGGGGTGGCTCGGGCAGCGGCCGGAGCATGAGCACCGGGGCTCGGGTCACAAAGGCTCAAGAGGCAGCGCGCTCCGCTAGCCACCGAGTGCTGGGGTTTGCACAAAAAAAGCTGCCAGCTCAGGAAACAGGCACGAGTCTGTTCGGAAAAAAAACCTTTGGCAGAAACTCCCCGGCTGGGGAAGGATTCCTGGGAGCCGCTGGCATCTGTGAAAATGTCTCAGCTTCCTGCTGGCAGCCTCGTCTGAGCCAGGGAATCCCCCCACCCACCCCTCCAGCTCAGGGAGACCCTGCGCCTGGGAAAGCACAGCTCCCTACGACGGAGACCTGCCCCTCTCTGCCAAACAACGACCCAACAACCTGCCCAGCAGGAAGACGGGCAGCTCAGCTGTGCCCGTAACACTGGCTCCTCCTGCCCACAACGTGGTGCAACTGGCTCTGGTAACCGCCTGGCCACGCAGGCCTCTGCGGGGCAGCCCAGGCCCCACACACCCCATCACAGGCCTTCTCCTTTTCAAGGCCCTCTCCTGATGCAGTGAGACCCTCCAGGTGTGCGCTGTCATGGCAATACAGACCCCAGGAATCCTCCCAGCCTCCAGTTGCATTGCCCTTGGCCCTGGCATTCCCTACACTGGCCGCCAGGGACATCTCCCCATGCCTCTGGAGACCCAAGCGACGTACGAGGAGAGGAGGGAGGTCGTCCGTGAGTAGAGGCGCCCGTTCTGGGCTACAGGTGACCATGCTGCAGCTGGGTCTCTGGTGCTCAGAGTCCAAAAGAGGTTCCCTGGTAAGTGGCCTTTGGAGCAAGAAACACCAACCCCCTCCCTGCAGCCGGATTGTATCCAACCAGGTCACTGGGCCTGACTGTGAACTGCCCCCCATGGGACTGGGTGCTAGGATGTGCCAAATCCCAGCTCTGCTGCCCAGAGATCCTGGCTTCTGACATCTCTGAGCATCACCATGGAGAAGCTTGAGCCCTCAGCAGTGATGAGCAAGTGACGGTTCCAAAGACCAGAGCACGGCAGGATGAGGCCAGGACAGCAGGCAAGGCAGAGCCCCAGGGTGCTCAGGGAGTGGGGTTGGGCTGGGTCACCAGATCAGGGTGAGTGGGGTGGGGCCGAGCTGCAGGATCCAGGCATTTGGAGAGGAGGCAGCAGAGCCCCCAGCTCCTCGGGCGAGTGGGTGGGGACCAGCCCCAGGTCTGGGCACTCAGAAGTGGGGTGGCTGAGGTGCAGGACTCTCAGCTCTCAGGGTGTCGGGCAGGGCTGAGCCATAGGATCTAGGCAGCAGGGCGGGGCCAAGCAGCACTGCAGGCCCTAGGTTCAGCCCTGACTTCTCTGCCACCCCTGCGGCACCCTGCAAAGGGGTTGGCTCGCCCCGGACCTAACATCCTGCTAGGGGCTGGGGGCAGCCCTGACCTCTGTGGTCACGAGGTGCCCTTTCCCCCCGGTACCCCCAGCCATTGGAGGGCACCTCCAGGGCTTTACTCTAACCCCTCATTGAACAGGAGACATGAACTCCCAGCCTCCTCCCTAGGGCCCTGGGTGGGCTGAGTTCCTTCTCTAGGGAGCCCACATTGTGCTGGGACTCTGGGGGTGGCTGCAGAGGGGGGCCGAGACCACATGGCTGGCTCCCATTCATCCCCTCTGGCCCCATGGGCTCAGTCTCAGGGAAGGGTTATACCCCCCAATGGACTACCCCCCCCTCAAGTATCGCACTGCTCCAGAGACACCGGGCACCCCTGCACAGGACACCCAGTGCTCCCCAGGGCCCCGGCACCCCCCTCTCCCGTGCTCTGGGGCAGGGGAGCAGGAGACAGCGAGTTTCAAGGGTCCCTGTGGAGCCCCTCAGCTGCCATAGTCTTGCCTGGCGTGGGGGTCGCCGGGGTGTGGAGGGAGCCAGGGCCTTGGCCTGGCTCCCACTCCGGGGTTGTCCAGCGCCAGGCGCCCCGGGCTGCAGCCCCCGGCCGAGCCCCCCAGCCCGGCTACTCACGTTGTTGCTGAGATCCTGGAGAGCTACGTTCATCCTGGACATCATGGGGCTCCCGGCACGGCCCCCGCCGCCTAGCTCCGCTCCCAGCCAGGGGCGAGCGGGGCTGCAGCCGCCGCGCCGGCCCCGGGGCTGGCCATGGTGCTCGGGGGCTCGGACCCGGCGGCCCCCTCCCTGCCAGGAGCCGCGCGGCTCAGGGCAGCTCCCGGAGCCGCAAGGGCGCAGCGGAGGCCCCGGCTGCGGGGGCCGGCGGGGCGAGGGGCAGGCGGCTCCCCGCGCTCCGAGCGGGGACCGTCACTGGGGCGAAACAGCGGGTGTGTCCATCAGGGCGGGCGGGCGGCATGGGCTGCGACCGGGGGCGGCGGCGGCGGGACGCCCGGGGCCCCGGAGCCCGATGGCGAAGGTCAGCGGGGATGGAGGCGCCGCCGGCTCCGCGGGACTCGCAAACAGCCTGGCCACGGGCGCACGGGCACAGCGCGCAGGGGCGCGGCCGCGCAGCGCGACACTGGCACACGCGCGGCCACCGTGACTCGGGCGCGCACAGAGACAAGGCGCACACCCGGCAATCTGGCACACATCCCGCAATCTGTCACACACACACACACACTCACACACACCGCAATCTGTCACACACACACACACACACCGCAATCTGTCTCACACACTCAAACACACACCACAATCTGTCACACACCCAGTCACACACCCCCGCAATCTGTTACACACCGACACACACCCCGCAATCTGTTACACACCCCGTCACACACACACACACACACACACACACACACACACACACCCCGCAATCTGTTACACACCCCGT